CCTGGACTCTGGGCTCTGCGACTTCTTGACCAACAGACTCTATCACAGCAGAAATGACACTGTGCCAGTTTCTGGGCCCAGGCCTTAGAGAACCAGCAGGGTTGACTCTTGGGCTTCTTGTCTCTTCAGCGAGCAGCTCTTGGAACCCAACCTCCACGCTCTGAGGAAGCCCAAGCAGTCTTGTGGAGACCTCTCACCTGGAGAGAAGCAGGCCCCTAAGAGGAAATAAGCTCCTCACAGGCAGCACCAACCTGCTATCCGTGTGCGTGCGCCACCTTGGAAGTGCATCCCTCACCCCATTTCTGACACCCCTGCCTGCACTGTGTGGGGCAGAGTCGAGCTGTCCCACCTGAGCCTTGACCGAACTGGAGATTCTGCGCAGAAGCAAATGCCTGTTACTATGTTAAGCTATTAAATTTTGTGGTGGTTTGTTAGATGGGCATGGCCATGAACACTGGCTCTAGCATGGACACGGCCCTCCGCGTGCCACCGGACACATCTCTGAGCCTCAGTTTCCTCATCTTTAAGATGGGGGTTCTGATTATCTGCCGTGTGGACTGGTGTGACACTTCCAAATGAGAGGATGTTTGCAAAGTTCTCTGCCTGAAGCCCAACCTACAGCAGGGGCTCCATAAACGACTTCTGGTAGTTTTAAAGCTCGGCCTCTAAATGGGGCTCAGGCTGACCCTTCCTCCCCACAGGTCCACTGGGAGCCCCACGAGGGTTCAGCAGATGTAGGCTGCACAAGTGGTCAGCGTTGCAGAACCACCAGGACTCTGGAAAGGACCCTCCCCAGGTGCTCTGGAAGGTCGAGTGAAGGTACCTTTCTCCTCCACGGCCACTGGAGATGCCCTGCCGGACTCCATGACTTTTACCCAAGTTTCAATGCCTACATTTCCCCAGACCATGGGAAACCTGGCCAGAATTCTGTTGTGTTCCTCTGAAGTAGCTAACTGCTCCATGAGAGGGGCAAGACGGTCCTGGGAGGTGTATGTTCTCTCCTCAAATCTCATAGTCTAAGACACTCTGGAGGCCTTTCATCAGAGAGCTTTGAAACCACTTACAACTAGTGTAATTACAGCCACCTCAGGAAGAGAAAAACCTCAGGCAGGGCTTCAAGTTGCCTGGCCTCCCCCTGGCCCACCGAGCCCTCCCCCCACAGCAGTCTACCTGCCGGGGCTGCTCTGAGACCCTCGGGCAGTTCTGAGAGGGAGGAAGCGCAGAGAGGAAAGTCAGGTGCTCCGAGCTTCCCCTCAAGCAACACTCAGTCTCTCAGGACGCTGGGCCTTAAGCTACCACAGATAACTTTTCCTTCTCTGCCTCAGGTTCCAAAGGCAGCAGGAGGCAGAAAATTCAACGCGGGCAACATCCTTCTCCCCAGAAAAGTCTCCCCGGGACTTCTAAGACATGTGGTGGTCTCTGGTCCCACCTCAGTTTGATTATGGCTCCAGGAAGCATTAAGTCTGCAGACCCTGATCCAACTGTTCTGTACCCTTAGGGCCCCTGGAACCACCGACTGGGGGAACTCAGAACCCATGAGCTCCAAGCCCAGGGGGAGCTCCAGGCAGTGTGGGGTTCACTGCCTGCCCTGGCCTTGGTAAGCCTCCTCTTCCTCTGTTATGGAACACGACACATCCGTACCCTAGAACAGGCCCATCCACACCAGGAGGCCCCACAGCCTTTCTAGGCTCTGGCCTCTATGGAACAATGGGGGAGGAAGAGTAATGTCTCAGAAGGGCACGCTCTCCTGGGACGGAAACAGTGAGGCCGTGAGGTGGGATGGGAGCAGGGGGGCAGAGGACAGGACAGATGCCCTCAGCCTCCCATCCGTTCACACATCCTGAGTGCCTAGAAAGGGTCAGGCCCAGCATCGCAGCAAATTCATGCCACCGTCTCTCCTAGAGCTTGGCTGTGCCTACGTGCCTCTCACCTCTCCACTCCCCACTCTCCCTTCTACACACTTACTCTTTCCAGGGGTGCTGGAAGACTACAAACTACATCTCCCAGACCCTCTGCCAATAGCTTTCCTTTGGGTTCACCACGGGAGGGAGGGACTGGCAGGAGACGGGAACAGTATGGGCAGGGAGGAATGTTTTTCCGGCTTCTGGAAGCGCCTCCAGCAGTGGTGGCCGCAACAGTGATCAGAGCAGCTTCAGAGCAGTGAAGGCAGCAAGGCCAGTGAGGGTGACAGCAGGTTCCAGCAGCCACCACCCCACGCGCAGCGAGCACAGGCTCTGAGTCACGCTGTCCTTCCTTTCCCTCCTCCTGCCTATGGCTGGTAGCGGCTTCCTGCCATCCCTAAATCATGGAGAACCTTACATATCTCCTCATTCTTGCGCCCCCAGCACTTATAACATCTTTGGAACCAATTCCCTGAATTCAATTCCCCATGGTTGAAATACCTGAGGCGGTTTCTGTTCAACGGCAACAGCGAAATCTGTTTTCCCAGCCACCAGTTTTTTCATTCTTGCCCAATCCCGGGGAAGTGTGTGCATTAACACATGTGTGTAAACACACACCTTGCATAACAGAACATAAATCCAAGGACCTCCCATTTAAAAACATAACAGCTTTCATCTATACACGCCCAACTACATCAGCCAGCGAGGATGCCCTGGGTCCTCTGAAGGTCGTATTAGCCCACCACCAAGCTTTTGCACTTCTCCCAGCAGACAAGGAGACTCCTAATAGGGATGTGGGGAAGATGCAGCGGCTGCCGCTGGGAGACCATGAAGGAGCTGCCAGCCCTGACTGGATGATGAGCATCATTCAGGTGTCCCAACTGCCACGGGCAGCCAGCACGGTTTGATCTACAGTACTGCACAGAACCCAGACGGCACACAGCCCTTTGCAGATGCATCTCCACAGAAGTGTCTCCACAGAGCTCTGCATGCAGAGGCCCTGCTGTCCCTGTCACCACCCGTGGCCTGTGCAGGGCCACTGGCTGCAAACCAATCTGCTGGATCTACTGCAGACGCACAGGCCACACAAAGGCTCTTAGAAGTAATTTCGAAGGGAAAACATGGGCAGGAGCTCAAAACCCTCAGTAGCTTTTAATAGATTAAAATCTCAAGAAAAATTTGTTTTTCCTCCTCACTAATCTTATTCTCTCCATTGGGTAATCACCGTGGGTCTGTGTCATCTCCTTCCTTTCTGTATCTCTTGATTAATTAGAATACCTACACGGGAAGGCCAGGGCACTGGGACACGGTCCAAAGCCTAAGAAACATCTGAAACTTGGTCTTAGCCATTCTGTTGCCTTTCAAGAGCAGATACCCAATCAGAATATTAACCAACATAAGGCAAATACCTCTTATGTCTATGGGGGTATCATGGACTGAATTACGTCCCCCCAAAAATGTGTGTATCAGTTTGGCTGGGCCATGATTCCCAGTATTATGTGGTTGTCCTCCATTTTGTGATTGTAATTTTACGATAAAGAGGATTAGGGTGGGATTGTAACACCCTTACTAAGGTCACATCCCTGATCCAATGTAAAGGGAGTTTTCCTAGGGTGTGGCCTACAACACCTTTTATCTTACAAAAGATAAAAGGAAAAGGAAGCAAGCAGAGAGTTGGGGACCTCATACCACCAAGAAAGCAGTGCCAGGAGCAGAGCATGTCCTTTGGACCCAGGGTTCCTGCACTGAGAAGCTCCTAGTCTAGGGGAAGATTGATGACAAGGACCTTCCTCCAGAACCAACAGAGAAAGAAAACCATCCTCTGGAGCTGACACCCTGAATTTGGACTTCTAGCCTTCTAGACTGTGAGAAAATAAATTTCTCTGTTAAAGCCATCACTCGTGGTATTTCTGTTACAACAGCACTAGATAACCGAAAAGAGAGGGATACGCTAGACTTTCACTCTTTGCTGTTTTCAAATAATCAGGAAGCAAGCCATTTACAAAATTCCCATTCTAGAAGCTCCGAAGTTAATTTTTTTAAATTTCCACATGCCGCATATATCAACCTCCCAATTGTGAGCAGAAATATACCTAATTCTATATAGCAGGGGTTGGCAGACTACAGCCCAAGGGCCAAATCTGGCCCACTACTGGTTTTTGTAGATTCAAGTTTTATTGGCACAGGCCACTGCCATTCACTGTGTCTTGTCTGTGGCTCCTTTCATGATACAACGGCAGAGTTGAGTAGCTGCAATCACATAACCGCAAAGCTGCAAATGTTTACTATCTGGCTCTTTATCGAAAAAGTTTGTTGTCCCCTGCTGTATACTATCTATCGATAGCTTCAGCTGATAGTCCAGTTTTCCTCCGATCATACCACGATAAAAGCATGGAACGACCTTACCCATGGGACGCAGACAAGAAGCAGTGGATGGGTCAAAGCAGGTGAGAAGATGTGTGCCCCACAGGGAAGCCGTCCACCCGCCCGCCCATGCCCCACATTCAGCGTCAGGCCCTGGTGCCTGGTCACGGCCTCCACACTGCCTGGCCAGGGCCTCTGGAGGGAGACGGCCAGGGGAAGGCATGTTGGGCGCACAGAGGTGTGCTACTCACCTGTGGCCTGACAGAAGAGTTGGAAGGTCCCCAGAGCATGCACGTGCTGTGCTTGGTCACTTAGGAAAGGTGGCAGCAAGGTGACCGTGGTGGTCTCAGGGCCCGAGGCCGGCCAGGGGCTCCGGGGAGAAGATGAGTCAGGGCTCAGACAGGACAGGGAGGAGGAGCCAGGAGGAGGGAAGGGCCTGGGAGATGAGGCTTTGAGACAGAAAAGGAAAAGAGAGAGGGCACTGAGGCAATGTCATCAGGAACGCGTCCCGTGCTGCAGAGGGGAAAACTCAACAGGGAAAGGACACAGCAGACAAGAAAAGAAAGCGAGTGACACCAGGGCTGCCCCAGGCCCGCCTCCCGCCCCCCACCCCCCGGGGCCATGCAGGGACACGGGCGGAGACCCAGGAACACGTCACGCACGACACACACCAGCTTCAGCGCTGTGCGGAGCGGAGGCAGCCGAATGCAGCTCAACTCAGTGAAGTCTCGCCCAGATCCAGGACATATGTATCTTATTTATTCGGTTACTTTGCATATTTATACACATCAAAGTAGAAAAATAAAAACAAAGTAAATCTTATAAAACACAAATGTTTACACCAAAATGGTCCCATCGTATCATGCTGGAAGACGAGGCTGTCTACACAGGCACACAAAATCCAGAGTTTATTGCTCTTGCCATGGAAGAAGGTCTCCTCTGACGGTGTTCACAAAGGGTTGGGGAGGGGCGAAGTGTAACGTAAACAAAAGGTGACATCGTACCACCCACTTACACCTTTCACCACAAGAGGCAGGTCTGGCATGGCGGACTGTCTGTGCAGGCATCTCCCAGGCCCTCTGGAGCGGCCGCCCGCCGCCCACCGCCCAGGCCGTTCCAGTTGTGGAGGAGCTCAGGGAGGGCAATGGTCCATTTGGATGGGGCGTGAGGGTGAGATCAAAGCAAAGAAAAGGAGATGTTCAGAGAGCCACAGAAGTCCTGGCCAGCACTGCCGGTCTGGACAGAAGGTGTCAGTCAGTGGCCGGGTGCATCCCACTGTAATGTGCTCGTTCCTCCGCCTGCAGCTCGGTGCAGCCCAGCCTCCAGCTGCCTGGGAGTCACCCAGGGCCCGCGAGGCCACTGTCCCTGCTCAAAATCCCAAATCCAGTTGTATGGATGTGTGGCAGTCCTCTGCTGCTTTCTCATCTTCAGAGGGTTTTTAAAAAGGAGGGAAAAAAAAAGTACAGAAAGAAAACCTTTCCGAAAGCAACGATGTTTCCCTCAAGGAATGAAGAAGGGGGAAAAAAAAAAAAAGTGCGCTCAAGAGTTGGTTTGGGGTTTGCATTTCTAAAAGCAGAAAGAACACATTTAGCAAAAGTAACTTCATCCCTGAGAATCATCAGCAATGTAAGCCATGTTTTATCCCAGTATACAATAAGGTCTAGAAGATACATCTTCATCTGCTTCAGTAATTTAAAAAAAAAAATCACCTAAAACACCAACACAATGGAAGCAAAATTCTAAAAAAATAAAGGAGAAAAAGTTCGTGCTACTCTGGACAACAGGCTGTAAGTTACCACACTGATAAACTACAATGTCACTTCCAATCTGGAATTAAATCACTTGTTAGTGGCTGCGATGAGGGAAGGCTGAAGGTCCAACTCTTCTTGGGCCAGTGGACTTGGCTGAGCCCACGTCTCTCCCAACAAAAGTAAGGCTCAGGTGAATCGGCGACTCCACCCGCAGGGACGTTTTCAAGCGCTGTGACCAGCTGGCGCACGCATGACCAGGGTGTGCTGCCTGCCACTTCCCAAAGGGACAAAGAGAAACCAAGTCATCAGCTCAACCTAACAGACAAGAGAAGAGAACTGGGGTCTGTGCACTGGGGTGGCTTCCCTAGGCAGGGTGGGGACGGACGGGGTCACTGACGGGCAGAGCACAAGAGGCGCCGCGTGCGGACGCCCTCACCACCTGACATGCCTGTGCTCAGCCAGCCAGCCGGGACGACAAGCTGGGCATCCGAAGAGGAGACGCAGCCCGCCTCAGTCCCCGTCGGCGTCCGAGTCTGCGTACTTCAGCTCACACTTCACATCAAATGGCTTGTCCTTGATGGGCAGGTCATCGATCCTCTGTGAGTCCTCCCGGTCGGTGGGGAGCTTGCTGGTGATGGTGTCCTGCTCTGTCTCGTAGCCCGTGTCCAGAGCCGGCTTGGGCTGCTCCCCGTTTTGCTGAGAGGAGCTTCCCTGCTCCACCAGCGTTTCCTTTGCAGTCTGCTCGCAGTCCGAGAAATCAGACTTGGACTTCTTCTTACCAAGCAACATGGCAGAGCGGAATTTCAGACACTGGCTGGGCAGGTAGCCTCTGTAGCAGTTATAAGAAAACAGACATAGGAACAGCAAGAAGAAGAAGAGGAAGAGGAACATAAGCAGGCGGTTGTCACTGGACTTGAGATACATGGTCTTCTCCGAGTGGATCTGCGGGATCGTGTTGATGACGATCTTCGGCTGGCAGGGTGTGCTTGTGGGTGTGAGGTGGGAGGGTGGGGTCATCACCGCACCGGGTGTGGTGACCCGCACAGCCGGCTTCGGGGGAGAAGCCCCTAGGGTGGCCCCCGCAAACACTCGGGTGGCGATTCTACTCCCTTCCGTCTGAACAGCCAGGAGGGTGGGAGCCACCGGAGGGGACGAGACCACCTTCACCTCCAAAACATGCTTTGCAAGCTCCTGGGAGACGGTTTTGTTCTTCACCGTCTCCTCCGAGAGACACTGGTAGACCCCGCTATCCCCTGTGGACAAGTTGAAGATGAGCAGGTTTTTCCTTCCCACCAGGCTGTACTTGGGGCTGTCAGCCTTTAGCACGCCATTCTGGAACTTCCACACCACTCGAGCCCAGTTGGACTTCTGGGAACACTTGAGCTCTGCTGTGCCACCGTGCTTGAAAAAATGTTGCTGGGAACTCCCCTGAACTTTATCTGGAACATCAAAATAAACGTGCACAGCGTCAACAACCCACTCATCAGCTCACTCCTCCAAAAGCATGTTAACATGCGCAAAACGACACAGGAGTGCCACCGCCAGAGCAACATGGCACCTTCCAGAGCAACTAAGGAGACAAAGACGTGCATGCCGAGAAGCAAAGATGAACCCCAGCTGGCAGGCCCTGTGCGAAAAGAAATCTGAGGCCGTTCTGAGCAGCAAAAGCCCATTTCTCGCTCTGGTTTCTGCTCTGACTCCCACAGGTGTGAGCGTTTCAACACACCCTGGCACCCTCCTCCTGAACTGTCCCTAAACTGATGATGGCTGTCTCATCAGGGACTGCAGGCTGAGTAACTAGCGGGTACATCTGCCTTTAGCAATGTTTGGGGAGACAGTGTCAAAGACGGGACATTCCTAACACAACTCCACCCGGCATCCTGGGACTACTCCATCAGGGAGGGCACCCTGGCTTCTCAGCTTGTTGCTCCTGCCGCTGAGTCAGCCCCCGACTCATGGCGACCCTGGGCACCACGGATCAGAATACTGCCTGGTGCTGTACCATCCCCATGATCAGCTGCGGATCAGACCCTTGTGATCCACAGGGTTTTCACTGGCTGATTTTCTGAAGTAGGTCGTCAAGCCTGTCTTCCTAGTCCATCTTAGTCTGGATGGTCCGCTGAAACCTGTTCAGCATCATAGCAGCACACAAGCCTCCACTGGCAGATGGGGGGTGGCAGCACGTGAGATGTACCGGCTGGAACTAAACCCGGGTCTCCCTCGTGGAAGGCAAGAATTCTCCCACTGAGCCACCAGGGCTCTCGAGGACTAATTACTTATGGGCCCCTTTCTTTCCCTTCACAACAGGTTCAAGTTCTGCTTAAGGGGCGCCAAGCTAGGCAGGACAGGACAGATGCGGTGATGCATCTCAAAAGCAGCTGCTACGGTTTGGACAGAGAGGTCTCTGGTAAACAAGTCCACTCAACCGTTTTAAGTATTCTTTTCTGCAACAAAAGGGGCAGAGAAATACATGGCTTCTGCTACAAGGTACCCGACCTCGGTGCCGAGCAGAGGCAGAGAAAGAAACGAAAAGTCCAAAAACACCACAAACTGAAAGCACTGTGAAGTGGGGCTTAGGTCCTCATCGTTTCTCAAGGAGATGTGGTGACACGGAACGACTCACCGGGGCAAGCAGACACGTCCCCACTCATGTCCTGAATCAAACCCCTGCAAAACAACGGGGCAGAGATTACCAACATGCCTGAGCTTTCCGCTGGAGGGCACGGGGGACCCCAGCCGCGCATGCGCCTTCCTCTGACGGTACCTGCCGGATCCGTGCTCCTGGTGCAGAGTGACGCAGGCGGTGGTGTGCGGGCTCCAGGCACAGTAGGGGTCCCGTGCTAACACGCAGTCCACACACGTGCTGTGCTTCCCACAGAAGGCCACGGGGGCCTGGACCATGCCTGAGTTGGAGCCAGCATAGACAAATCTTTTGCCCTGTGGGAATGAAACAGAGATGAGGACAGGCATTTGGGAACAGGCATATGGCAAAAAACATGATCAGCGTAAGAGCATGCTGTCTGCTTGTTCACGAGGGTCACAGAGAACGATGACAAAGCACCTTCAAGCTATCCACGAAGGAGGAAAGCCCACCAAATTCAGAACTAAGGAGTCCTTGGGTAGGACAAACAGTTAATGTGCTTGGCTGCTAACTGAAAGGTTGCAGGTTCAAGTCCACTCGGAGATGCTTTGGAAGAAAGGGCTGGCAATCTACTTCTGAACAATCAGTCACCGAAAACCCTGTGAGCACAGTTCTATTCTGACACGTGTGAGGTTGCCATGGGTCAGAGTTGACTCTATGGTGAGTGGTTCCTTACTCCTGACTCCTTCGACTTCTGAACCACCTGGTTTGTTGAAACCGGACTCCACTACCAGATAAAGACATAATACTGGTCGAGCTGCACCCCTAGCAGGCAGAGTACCTGGCTTACTGATATTTTCCTCTCGTCAAATCCTGACAGAATGAGGTCTCTCCACACAAAAGTCCCATCTAAAACATAGACATCTGAAAGAACGGCAAGCTCTTTAGAGCTTTAAATCTGGCCGCTTGATTTTTTGTCTATCCTTTGCCTATATCTGTCTTAAAACAACACTTTGGTTAACATCAAAAGATCCCCCAACTTATGAACAAATGAGTGTTTTAGAGTTAGATGAAATACTGTCTCATCCTCAAAGGATACACTCTTTACTAACTTCAGAGTCGGGCTCAAGATCAAAGTCCTTGGTGCCGACCTAGAAGTCATGCTTTGCACCACATCAAAGGTGCACAAGGTGCAGACCCCCTGGGGGAGAAGCACCAATGGGAGCCCGGGTGCACGGCACAAGGGAGAAGGGACTCCCCTTAGTCAACGGGTTAGAAATGGAATAATGACAAACAGCAGAAAGAGCCGGCCTCGCCATGGGGGCCTCGCCACGGGGGCCTCGCCACGCCCAGACACGTCCTCGTACAAGTGGGAAGACGAGGCCATGTGCAGGCCAACCCGTAAGGACGAGTGTGGTGCCTCAGACTACGTTTTGGGGAATCACGTGCTTGTGGGGGTGCGGACATGATCCCCTGGGTGAAAGGCCAATCTGGCTGCTTCAAAGTCCACCAGGGGACACCCTGCAGGGCCACACACACACTAGATGAAGAGAGGAACACAGCCCTGGGCCATCTGAGGGGGACTCCGGCCTGAGAACACCCTCAGTGAGAGGTGGGGGTGACTGTAAGTGTGGGCGTGGGGAAGGCCCAGCCCAGCCCAGCCCCAGCCTCCTGTTCTGCAGGCCACCTGACCCCCAGTGCTCATGTCTCCCTCCCGGTTACTAAAGACCAAACGGAACTGAGAAAAGAAAAGCAGCTTGTAACAACAGGGCCTCCCAGTGCCCCAGTGCAGATGGAACGAGAGCAGAGGGAGTGACTGTCAGAGCCCTCAGGGCGGACCGCCGCCGGCCAGGTCCTGCGGGAGCTAGAATTAGTGGGAGAGGCACGTGAGAGCAAGCTATCCGCAGAGCCTCCGAGGATCTCCCCCAAATCACTCACAGTGACTGGTGGCTTTGGAAAACCCTACGGAGCACATTCTACTCTGACACACGTGGGGCTGTGTGCCGGGATCCACTTGATGACACCTGGTTTGAGTCCTTACGTGGCGCAAATAGTTACCTCAATCAGCTGCTAACCGAAAGGCTGGAGGTTCAAATCCACCCAGAGGTTCCTTGGAAGAAAGGCCTGGCGGTCTACTTCCAAACAATCAGCCACTGAAAACCCCACGGAGCACACTTCTACTCTGACACACATGGGGTCGCCATGAGCTGGAGATGGCCCAGCGGCAACTGTTTTTTTCTGGTGGCAGCTTTCCCAATGCCCACAAATGCTTTGGCACACCTCCCTCCAAGAGGTGGTGTGTAATCATCCCCCTCGGTGTATGTGCCGGACGAAGTGACTCATTTCTAACCAACAGGGTACGGGAAAAGACAGGGCTTTGGGCCCAGTGATCAGGCCCCGTCCCTCGGCGAGTGCCCAGGGCTGTGGAGGGGCAGCCTGACGGGGCCTGGACCCGCCCACTGGCTGGCGGCCAGTGCCAGGAGCTGGGTGTCGCAGGAGCTCTCTGAAGGGCTGAAGCTGCAGCCTCACCCGGATGGGGCTGCTCGGGGGTGTCTCAGGCCAAACCAGACAGCTTGGCACCAAAGGGGCACGTGCCACAGGAGGGCAACAGAGAGCAAGGCATTCAGAACGGGGAGGCACAGGTGCGAGAGGCAGGGGCTGGGTGGGCCATGAGCAGGGAGATGCAACATGTGGCTGCTCTTCCCGATCGTGTGCTGGCCCGGCACTGCCAAGCCCCAGAGCCCAGTCAGCCCAGGAAGCCACCTTGTGGGGTCCACCCGAGGTCCTGCTGGTGCTGTGACTGCCAAGCAGGTGCCCTGGTCCTCAGTCACAGGGTAGGGGGAGGCAGGCAGGACCCTCCCCCGGATCGGCCGCCACACGCAGCGAGCCCTCCACAGGTGCCGTCTCGCGGAGGGACAGAGCGGCTCTCCCCGGTGCAGCGTCACCCCCTCAGAACCCAGCTTTGTAGGCACTTACTGTGTGCTGCCCCCTGTGCTCAGCACTTCACAGGGGTCATCTCATTTCAGCCTCAGGACCACCCCGTGAAGAGGCACAGGGGGGCAAACAGAGGTACAGGATGCGTAATAGGCTGTCAAGACTCACGCAGCCACATGCAGTGGAGCTGAGATTTGGACTCTTCACTGCTCACCCTCACCTCTAACATGGGGGCAGCACCCATACCCCAAGCACCCACGTCCCAAGGCCACGGCAGGTATTGAGAGAAGCAGTGTATGACGGTCAGCAAACTACAGCTGGCGGGCCAAACGCAGCCCCCTCTCTGTTTTAGACAGCCTACAAGCAAGGAATGGGTTTTAGGTTTTTAAATGGTTGTGACAAAAACTGAAAAGAATAACATTTCACGACATGAAGAAAATTACATGCAACACAAAGTACAGGTCTATCAATAAGGCTCTGTTGGGGCGCAGCCACACCCACCTGTTTACGGGGTGCTCGCAGCCGCTTTTACGCTGCAACAGCTGAGCTGTGACCGAGGCTGCACAGTCCCCGAAGCCAAGAAGATTTACTACCTGGCCCTTTACAGAAAAAGTGTGCCAATGCTGACGTGGGAGAGAACACTTGTAAATACCTACATACCATGTCTTATTATCATTACAGATTTTCTGAGTTTGGCCAGCAAGTAAGTAAGCAGCATCAACATCACAGCCCACAGATGTCCCCTAAAATCTCACCAAGTTCGTGCACAAGGAGGCGTCTTTGCAGGACAGTGGACACACGACAATAGCACTGTCCATCTGCTTCAGGTGCACAGAGAACTGCAGGTGACTTTCAGTAAAGCCACATCTCCCTGGGTTTGCTCTCCCACCTTCCCAAACTCCAAACCCCCCTGGTTCATAGACCTGTCCTGTTAAGCACCTGAATGCCAGCTCACTCACACAAAGCAACCAGAGCCCAGAGGGCCGCCCCAGGCCCCGCTGCTGGGACAGAGCTGGGCCCAGGTGCAGCCCAGGGCTCTGTCACTCTCAGATCACCAAGGCGGCCGCCACCTGGGGCCAGCTTCGGGCTGTAACCTTACCTTCTTGGAGGACAGCAGCAGGGTCTGGACCGGCGAGAAGTCCTGGAACAGCTGAGTCTCCTCGATGACATGCACGCCGTTTTCCAGGCTGACGGCTTTGTGCAGGGCGCCCCTATCTGCAACATCAGGGCCCACAGGTTAGTGACGGAGCCCAGAAGGGACAGCCAGGTGGCCCAGCTATTGCTGACAACAGCAGCCAATGCTGCCCCTTCACGTGCAATTCATCCCCCAAAAAGGTACTCCGAAAAAGATGACAGTTTTGCATTAGAAATGAAAAAGGAAGAAAAAAAAGGCTTTGGCAACATAAAACAATTGGTAACTCAAATATGAGAGGTTATTTCACATTTTTTTTTAATGACGAGTAAACTAATGTTCCACTGCTGGCTCCAACAATCACTTGTAATCACAGCTGGTGATATGATGCCATCAGAGACTCTGGGTCCCATGCAAGGCAGCCCTGCACACCTCCAGCCTCTGCGGTGTCCCCACATAAGGGACTGGCCAGCAAGGGAGGGCAGGCGGCGCTACCTGGCTGAAGAAACACCCGGGGCAGACCTCGGTGTCCTGCCAGCTACCCCGCACCTGCTGACTGCTCTCCGCTCCTGAAAAATGTGTTCAGAACTCACAGGCAAAACACATGAAATGCTCGCCTCTGGCAGCAAGTCACAGTGTCTCACACATGGGCTTCAAAGCAAGGAGGCACGAATGTGCTGTCACTGCCAGGTGTTAGGATTGCCTGACAAACATCTCCTCCAAAGCCAAGTCCCCGGCACCCACCACTGGTCACCTAGAGCTCCTTGGAGATGGACATTCCTCTGCTCCAGACCTGAATTCCAGACCACAGCTAGCGCTTGCATTTTACCCAATTCCCCAGGTGACCTGACAGTCACAGAGACCAGACCATGGAAGTCACCCTGGAGGCGAATCAGATCTCCCCACCTGCTCCTCCCCAGGCCAGGACCTAGCCCACAGGACCGTGGAGTGCTGGCGAACACACCTGTGCTGATGAACATCACGTCGCAGATGGTCTCATCCAGAGCCTGCACCCTGTCCACCACGATCTGGGTGTAGTTCACGTCCTTCTGAATTAACCGGGGCCTGTTGTCAGTCGGCGTGATGGAGTCATCCATCAGAGGGTGGTCTTTCACGAACTGCAGTGTCTTGTCAGGTAAGTTCAGGGAACTGGTGAAGTTGGCGGCCCTGGCCTCACTGTTGATGCACTATAGGAGAAACGACCCGCCTGAGCACTCTGCGGGGGACGCCCACACAGCCACAGCAGCACGCCTCCACGCTGCCGTGGCGCTGGGCGCTCAGGTGCTGGGCGCTTGGCTCGGGAAACACAAAGGGGGTCTCCTGAAGAAAGGGGCAGCGATGAAAACCCGAGGTACCCCTCCCCCAGGAATCTGAAGACCTGGTGATAGCATATGAGAAGTGCTTTCTTATCTACAAGATACAATTTCACTGCCTGACATGTAATCAAGTAATTTTCTTCTGTTTATAGCTGAAAAAGAACTTAACCCTTTTGGAATTGAGAAACAGAGCATTCGATAGCGTGCCTGTGAGAAGAGAAGAATATCCCGTAAAACAGTCCAGCCCTACCTAGCGTACAAGCTCAAGAGCATGAGCGTGGCCTTTCTTGTCCTAGCTCCCCGATGTACGGAAACCAGAACGCGGGACAAGTAAACAAAAAGTGCCTTGTGGAAACATCACCGCCTTTTCTCCCCAGTGTGCACAGGAGGAGTGGTGATGGGTGAGTGGGGATGGGGGGACACCCACAGGCAGGGGCTCCGGGGGCCCAGCCAGTCTCCCAGTTCACACCTGTGCGACGCTGCCCAACACACCTGCTCGCTACTTGGGGAAAGTGATCGGATGTGTCGGAACCAGCTGCAGATCCACATTCATTGCTACATAAAACTCGTGATTTTTAGGAGAGAAAACGTGACTCCCCGATGACCAGACAGTGCTGCTCATCAGGGCACTGAGACCTTTGCCAAGAGATCGTGTGTTTCTCAGCAGGACACCGGAACTGAAATCTGCCAAGTCTGATTGTGCAACAGATTCCCCTAAATGCCCCTCTGCCAGCTAGAGCAGACTTCCTGTGTGCGGGGTGTGGCCAGAGCAACCCCACAATGTGCATGCTAGAAGGAAGCAGGAGAAGGAAGCGTGGCGCTCACTGGCCTTTCCCAGGCACAAGACGGGGGCGGGGGCGTCCCTGTGTCCCTGGGGAAAGCCCCTGGCTGCCCCTGAGCCACACAGGGAGGCCTAGTGCAGCCAGGTGAAGGGACGCTGCAAGGGCGCTCACCCCTGCCGCTTGGTCAGGCTCCATGCCGGGAAGAAGGACGCCCCCCGCCTCCACTCACCGCTCCAGGCCGCGGCCTGGGCACTGCTCCATTGTAGCGCACCCACTTGGTATGCGACTGCTCCACCGTGGCGCTCTGCATGTACTTCCCCCGGGAGAAGACCTCCTCCACTGACGACAGGTTGTAGACACACACTGCCGACAGCCCCACGTTGTTCCTGGGGAGGAGAGCGATGGCGTGACAGCTGGCCAGAGTGCCTGAGGGACAGCAGCCCCAGGGCAGCCCCACCTGGGCACTCACAACTGTGGCGTGAAAACGCCGTAGAACACGGGCTCCTTCAGCCATGGGCCCCGGAGAATGAACACATCCTGCAGCATGTTGAAGACAAGGTTGCTGTCTGGTTTGGAGCAGATCAACCGGGCCTTCAGGAAGGAGGTCCACTTCTTCTGCAATGTCCTCAGTCCACCCTGGTCACCCTGAAATCCCAAAGACAGATGTGGAAGAGCACACACCTACCCCCCACCAGCAGGTGAGACCCTGCCAGGCCCAGCTCCCGCCCGCGCCAGCCGGCGAGACCACGCCGGGCCCAGCTCCTGCCCGCGCCAGCCGGCGAGACCACGGCGAGACCTCAGCAGGCTGAGGAGCCTCTTGGGCCCCGGCTGATCTGCCCAAGTGAGGCAGGTGAAGGCTAAAGAACCCAGGTAACAGACCCTTCCGTGACCCACAGCACAGCTCCTATGCCAGCTTGGGTCAGGGACACGTCCCCTCAATGCTGAACTGAACCAAACAGCCAAAACCCCATTCTATTGCAGCTAAAACAATATTCAATTCTGCCCCAAACGCTCGTTTCCCAAGAGCGAGGATGCACCACTTCTCTGATGAACGTTTCACTTCCTCGGCCCTTTGCCTGGGTCCACTCTCCAGGCTTACGAACCATCAGTTAATGGCCTGTGGGCCCGCGGCACTGCGCCCCTCCTTCCAGGCCGACAGCATCTGCGGCTGCAATCTGTCCATGCACAAACATGTGTGCAGGTCTGGTCTCCCCAAAAGAACATGCCTCTTTGAGAGATCCTATCCTTACCTCTTCTAACTCCCCAAATGACCTGCTAAACGCTCTGGGCCTACTAGGTGCTTCATAAACACTTTTTAGTGACCTGAAAACCAAGGGAAAAATGTAAAACCTCTATCACTCTGAGGGCAGTGGTAGTTCCGTGGTGGAATTCTCCCCCTCCATGGGGAGACCCACGTTCAATTCCCAGCCAATGCACCTCATGGGCAGGCACCACCCATCTGTCAGTGGAGGCTTGTGCATTGCTGTGATGCTGCAAGGGTTTCAGTGGAGCTTTCAGACTAAGATGGACCAGGAAGAAAGGCCTGGTGATCTACTTTGGAAAATCAGCCAGTGAAAACCCTGTGGATCACAACCGTCCAATCCTGCTGTGCAGAGGTTTGCTGTGAGTCAGGGGCAACTCAACGGCAGCTGACAACAACGTATCGTTTTACTTGATCTGGGGAGAAAAACTGAAAACACAAACTCTGAACGCAGAAGGCGTCTTTGTTTTAGAAAAAATGGAAACCCGCCCTTCCCCACCTTAACTCTGTGATCCTGGTAAGTGCAATTTCTCTTTTCATAAAAGAACTTAATTTTCTTCCTTTATGTTTTACCAAAAGGTAACTTCCAGCATGTCTGCGGTCATGCATTTCATTTGGCCCTTGGCTGGGAGGAGTCACCGATAACCTGTTCGCAGCTGACTCTGCAAGCCTGGGCAGGAGGCAGGTAGCGGGGTGTGTGGGCAAGGGGGTGCTCCTGCTGCCCCGAATCTGCACTTGGAGAAATTGTGGAGTATGAAAAGAGAGACACTTAAGACTTGTAGAGACCCTTGAGACTTCTATTTGAGGGTGTATGTGCATGCTATATGGAGGACCCCAAATCTCTGCCTGCTGGCATTCCTGAAATCCCATGCACGCAGGCGTTGTGTACAAGGTAACAACCCACGAGTCACAGCAGAGGCAGGGAAGGGCTGCCGGGGCAGGTCTGACCACTTGCTTCCTGACGGTCACATGGCCAACAGGACAGGAGAGGCCTCTGGGACACCTGGCTGCTCTGCTCCGAGGGCCCGTAGCCAACACTCAGGAGCACCGCCCCACACTCCTCTCCCCTCCGTGCCAGCCTGTGGCCCAGGCCCAGCGTGACTGTGCCAGGATGGTCTTGTCTGCAAAATGTGGGGGGAACGGGGGTCCAGTTGTGTGTCCTGGCTAGAGAGTGCTGGCAAAGCACTCGACAGACATACAGGTGTTCAGAACACCTGTTCCTCATGCTGATAGTCACTATGGGTGGGAAATCAAAGCACCTACTCTGTGCACTGTAGGCACAGAACAATAGCTTCTGTGATGACCCAGGACGCAGGTGGTGATCACTAAAGCAAGAGTGACTAGAGACAATGAACAGATTTCAGACTAAGACAGACTAGGAAGAAAGGCCTGGCCATCTACTTCTGAAAATCAGCCAATGAAAACCAGATGGGTCACGTGGTCTGCACTGCATCCAATCACAGGGATGGTGCAGAGCTGTGAAGCATTTCATTCATTCCCTGGTGCGGGGGGTTGCCATGAGTCGGGGGCCAACTCTACGGCAGCTAACAGCAACAGAGCAACTGTACATCTAAAGCTTTCATGTCCGGGAAACGTGGAGCTGCCCCAAGCTGAGTCGCTGGTCAGCAGCATCCGCACTCAGCACAGCCGCCATCTGTGTTCTGTGCAGTTTCTGACGGTCATGGAAGCTTGGCCCTTGGGCTCGCCTCCCAGAACTGTCGCCTGCAATCAACCCGACCGTGCACGTCTGTCATCGTGCATCCACAGCGCCGTGCCTACCGTCCGGTGCTTCAAAGCCTTCTCCTTCCCCCAATACGCACTTGAAGCTTTGTTTCTCAACGAACATCCCAGTAATAATCTTTCCAAAGTTCTCGCTTCTTAACCTTAAGCCATCAATTACTGTTTCACTCCGAAGTTAATTACAAGAGCCAAATGGTAAAATTCCAATTCCAATATGACTGGTTAATAGAGTGTCATGGATTGAATTATGTCCCCCAAAAAATGTATGTATCAATTTGGCTGGGTTGTAATTCCCAGTATTGTATGACCATGTGCCATTTTGTAATCTGATGTGATTTCCTTATGTGTTGTAAACTCTATCACTACGATGTAATATGATGGATTAGCAGCAGTTATACTGATGAGGTCTACAAGATTAGGTAGTGTCTTAAGCCAATCTCTTTTGAGATATAAAAGAGAGAAGCGAGCAGAGAGACAGGGGGGACCTCATATCACCAAGAAAGCAGTGTTGACAGCAGAGCGCGTCCTTTGGACCTGAGGTTCCTGCGATGAAATGCTCCCAGACCAAGGGAAGACTGATGCATCACAAGGACCTTCCTCCAGAGCCGACAGAGAAAGCTTTCTCCTGGAGCTCATGCCCTGAATTTGCACATGCAGCCTACTGGACTGTGAGAGAATAAACTTCTCTTTGTTAAAGCCATCCACTTGTGGTATTTCTGTTACAGCAGCACTAGATGACTAAGACATAGAGTGAACCAACACTAACTTTTTACAACCCTGGAGAGGTTTGGGGAAGATGTGATCAAAATTGAGTCTCCTGAAAATAGGGAGTCCAGCTGTCCTGCAAAAGATGTGGACACGCCAGGAAAATTATCAGAGCTACAGCAGAAGTAACCTTCCACACTTAGATTGTTGCACAAGGGAATAAAAGTGGCAGACACACGGACACTTCAGGCAGACAGATGGACATTTCAGGTGAAGCTTAAAATCTGGGACAAGTGACTAATTTCCAGATAAGCCATCGCCACAGGGCAGGACAAAAAGAAAACAAAGACTGAACGGTACCCTACCTTGCACACCCTGGCTATCCTCGGGATCATCAGCTTAAACATGAACTCGTACTCCACAGACACTTCCATGAAGAAGAAGTACACCTTGTCGTCCTCGCCCTCCGTGTCATTGGGGTTTCTTCGTATCACATCTGTGAAGACGAAGCTGGGCTCTGTGGAGAGGAGGCAGCCCTGAGAGCTCAGCACACGTCCGTGTTCATGGGTGGAAGACTCAATGTTGGTAAGATGTCCATGCTACCCAAAGTGATCTACAGATTCAATGCAATCCCCATAAAATCCCAACAGTCTTCTCTGCAGAAATAGGAAGGCCTATCCTCAAATCCAGAGGGAAACACAAGGGCCCCCACAGCCAAAACAACCTTGGAAAAGAACACAGCAGGACTCACATGTCCCCATTTCAAAATGTACCATAAAGGTACCTTCATGAAAACAGTCTAGCACTGGTACAGGATAGACACATACGCACCAGTGGGATATGGCCAGGCCAGGAGGCTCTGCTCAAGGGGACTTCTGGGCACACCTAGGGGCGCACGGACCATGCTCCAGACCCCAGGGTGCAGGAATGACGACAGTACTGAGCCCGAGTGTGCCCAGCCTACCCTCCTCAGCCTCAGAGCAGCCCCCCACCCAGGTCCGTGCCCAAGAAGCCAGCCTGGCCCTGCTGACTGTCAGCCTTGGGACCCCAGGCAGCCAGACCCACCGTCCTTGGAGATCCATCTGTAAAATACACACATTTTCTGGTTTAAATAACAACCCCCAGCCAACAAATCCAGGCACCCGACAGCTCTGGAATGACCAGCTGTCCTTCATCTCTGGCCGCGGCATGTGCCCCCCAGACCACCCCTCCTCTGAAGAGGTTAGGAGGCTTCAAAACTAAGGGCTGTGCCCTCAAGAGAAGTCTCAAGTGAGCAGGCACGAGCCAGCTGCACCTTGGAAAACAGACTCTGAGCACACGCTGTCTGGAGGCAATCAAGACTCTAGCTCTGATCTGATAGGGCATTCTGAGGTTGTCCACAGAGGCCGACGCCAATCTGCGTCTGCTCTGCCCTTCAATATCACTGCGGAAATTACATGTCCCCATCTAATGCATCTGAGCAAGCCCACCGCTCAGAGTCCCACTGTTAATCAAGCCTCCCCAAATCAGTTTTCATAGGAAGCAAAGCTACTTAGAACAGTGCTCTGTCAGAGGAGAAAAAACACAAACACACTCTTGGATTCTGGCTCATGTGGCTCTAAGTGGTGACAGATGTGTCCCCAAGGCACCTAGGACCCGCCATCTGGTCCTCTGAATCAGTTGGTGCCTCTGCAGACTCTAGGCTGCATCTATGCCTCATGGGGAGTTCATCATGGCCAGCTGAGGGAGCAAGAGACAACACGGGCCTGGTTTACAGACGGTTCCGGGTGATATGCAGGCGCCACTCAAAAGCGGACAGCGGCAGCACTACAGCCCCTTTCTGGGACCTCCCTGAAGGACAGTGGTGAAGGGAAATCCTCCCAATGGGCAGAACTGTGAGCAGTACACCTGGTTGTTCACTTTGCTTTGAAGGAGAAATGGCCAGATGTGCAATTATATACTGATTCATGGGCTGTGGCCAATGGTTTGGCTGGATGGTCAGGGACTTGGAAGGAATGCGATCAGAAAACTGGAGACAAGGATTTATAGGGAACAGGTATGTGGACAGACCTCTCTGAATGGGCTAAAGAAGTGAAGATATTTGTGTCTCATGTGAATGCTCACCAAAGGATGACCTCAGCAGAGGATGATTTTAACAATCAACTGGATAGGATGACGTGTTCTGTGGAAACCAGTCATCCTCTTTCCCCAGCTACTCCCGCCATTGCTCAATGGGCTCATGAACAAAGTGGCCATGGTGGCGGGGATGGAGGTTATGCATGGGCCCAGCAACATGGACTTCCACTCACCAAGGCTGACTTGGCTACAGCCACGGCTGAGTGCCCAACCTACCAGCAGCAGAGACCAACACTGTGTCCCTGACGCGCTGAGCTGCAGGCCACACCTTACGGGCAGCGCCAGCAAAGGGAGACATGAACTGGCGTACTTCTGCTGGCGAGGAAGTAACCACACACAGAAATTCACCTTCAGTGGGTGGCTTCTGGTCCTTACCGTTCAGCCAAGGTATCGCGTACTCTGTTCTCAGGGGACTCTGGGAAGAATGGCGGGAGATGATGGGTTCGCTTCCCAAAAAGTTATACGATGTCCCAGAGTAAAGCTCTCCATCTTCAGTGGGCCAGGAGGAAAGAGAAGTGAGTAAATATCTCAGGCTGGGGGCCAATCCAGGGGACAAAACCTCAACGCGTTTTCTTTGTAACCTCATATAAACCCCTCCGGAGACACGAGGGACCACGTGCCCAACTTCCGGAATGCACGTTTCTGTTTCCTTCTCACTGGCGTGGATATTGCTGTGCTGTGTTTTATGAGCACTGAGGAGCAGTCACTAAACACAAGCAGGATGCTCCAGGATCCAGTACAAGGATCGCCAACGTGACTGGCGCACACGGGCTGCGGCTCGCTTCTCTGGGGCCCCCAAGCCCCTCCCAGCAGGGTGTGGTTCAGCTACAAACCTCCCCCTAGAGCAGGAACACGTGCTCAACGTGGCCAGACAACTCACGGGATCTGCACAAACAATGGGTCTGAAATAATGTTTCCCCACAAATACAATTCTAGACCATGATGGCGGGCAGTCATCCTTCTGAATGAGTACAAAAACTCTTTAGGAACACATACAGTCGGAGGCCCTTGGTGGTACAAACAGTTAACATGCTCAGCTGCTAACCAAAAGGTTGGAGGTTCGAGTGCACCCACAGGTGTTTCGGGAGAAAAGCCTGGTCATCTGCTTCTGAAAAACCAGGCACTGGAAACCCCCTGGAGCACAGTTCTACTCCGACATACGTGGGTCGCCATGAGTTGGGGTCAACTCAATGGCGACTGGTATATGGAGAGTCACATGTACCTTTTGTGAGGATGGCTAATATTAACATGAAGCACAGAAAGAGAGTATTGATAAGCAAAAAGGAGCCGGATGCACTGTTTTGTATACTTAGCATGTACACCACACTCATCCCCTTCAGTGAAGAAAGGCGTGAGAGGCAGCACTCACCAACCATGACAGATGTATAGCTCTGTGCTGGGTCAAAGGGACACCTTCCTTTGCCATCTTCATTCTTCCCCAAAAACTTAAAGGCTGTTAAGCTCTATGGTAACCAGAGAACAAAAAGGAAGTGCATCATATTTATGAAGTCATGGAGTAATAGGCTTTGTACATTTAATTTTACACACTCGTTCTTCCTGGAAGACCAAGGGCAAGAGCAAATGTGTCATGAGCCAGGTGAGGTCTGCCCTCTAGAGCTGCGCCTGGTGCTGCTCAGCTCAGGTCTGGATGGCAGCTCCTCCGTGTACCGGCTCTGACACGCTGGCCAAGCTATGTGCAATCTCGGAGCCTCAGTTTACTCATCTGTGAAATGGGGACAGAATGCTGATGCTCTAGGGAAGCACTCAGTGATCGGCAGTCCACCTGTGGATTTTAAGATCAGTAAAGGTGGCACTTCAAAGTGGTGGGGGAACCTGACTATCCAATAAACAGGTAACAGAAAAAAGAAAACAAAAACAAAAAGAAGCTGAACTCCTACCTTACTCCACCCATTGAAACCTATTCCAGATGGATCAATGATCTGAACGCTTAGAAGGGAACCGCGCTGCACTGAAGGACACAGCAACAAGCGTTTTAACCTTGGGATGACCTTTCTGGTAAGAAAGCCCAAAGCTATATGAGGACAAATGGACAGACCCAATGACAGAAAAAACTGGAAAGCTCTTTGTGCAGGAAAAAAATGAGACAAAGTTAAACGACAGTGACACATGGGGGATATGCTCGCAAAATGGCAGATGGGGTGTTTATATCCCTGAATATATATACAAACAAGTTGCACGAACAAGAAAGAAAGAATATCTCGAGAGAAAAACAAACGCAGCAAGCTGCAAAAGACAAAGTCCACGTGGGCACCACAGGCAGACAGTGTGTGAAGCTGCTGGAAACCCCGGGGCATGCAGGATGAAGACACACGCAGGAACGTCCCCTCCGCCTAACAGGAGAGACTGCAGGGCAGAAGGCTGACGGGAAGCGTGCACAGCTCCTGATCCGGCTGGCGTTCAGACACAGAAAGGGCCATGGTCAACAGGCATGGGAAAAGAGACTGCAGACAGGCCAGCTAAACCACGTCGGGTAAGGAAAGATGAACTGGGTGACAACACAACCCACGTGAAAGGATCAATTTGTCATGGCTCTAAGGGACGTTTGGGGGCTGCTGGGGAAATCTGAGTAGGGACTGGAGATGTTAGATGATACTGGGGGACTGCCGGAGAATTTCTTGATATAACGATGAAGCTGGAGTTAATATAGGAGACACCATTATTCTTAGGAGATGCGTGGGAAGGGTCGTACCTTAACTCTCCCTCACACACACACACAGACACACTCACACACACACACGGATTTTAGCAAATATGGCTAAATGTTCCCATCTGTGCAATCTAGGTGGTTAATACATATACAAGTGATCAACATTTCTGTAGGCCTGAAAATTTTTATTTGAAATGAAAATGACACGTCTGGATTTAAAAGAAATATACTATCTCCTTACCTCAATAGGAAACCCTGGTGGCGCAGTGGTTAAGAGCTTGGATGCTAACCAAAAGGTCAGCAGTTCGAATCTACCAGGTGCTCCTTGGAAACTCTACAGGGCAGTTCTCCTCTGTCCTATAGGGTCGCTATGAGTCGGAACCAACTCGATGGCAACAGGTTTGGTTTTTTTTGGTTTACCTCGGTAACTATGGAATTTAACTTTGAACTGCAGTATTTGAAGCTTCTGATTAAAGTTTAGCCTGGAAACCCTTTGATGCTCAAATATGACTTGGTACACGTTTTCTTAAGCAAAAAGAAACAAACTCTGTCCTTGAGGACTTCAAACATCCCAGAGGCACGCTCCAGTATCAATCTGTACAGCCGGCTTTTGTAGGTGCATATACCCCATAAGATCCCACATGAATCCCACCCCAGAGGTCTGTGTGCAAATCCGATGTTTTCCTAACCAAGTTCCTAATGGGCCCACACTTTGTCTTGCCATTTGCCTCTCAGAGTTAGAAAATGTTTTCAAAAATTCCAGCTAATTTAGGGTTCTAGCAAACTCAGCTTTTCACTACGGCATATTTTACATGTTAGGTGCTCGCTAAGACGGGGTGGATGTTAGAAAATGTGCTTCATTTTCAATTCTCACATGTACTTAAAATGCCTTCTCCCTGTCTTTGTGACTGTTATACAAACCTCTCATCAGATTTTCTGGATACAAAGAATTTCCCCAGTAAGACAGTACAGTCCAATCTCTCTCCTAGTTTTCAGTCAAGTGACATGAAAAGCAAGGCTGAGAGGACAGTCTGAGGAGGGAGGAAGCTCCCTCTCTTAAGGAAGGTTTCTGACAGATTCAATGTACAGATAAGCAAGAGCCTGATGTACCGAAGGGACTGAAGACACACCCTGCTCCTAGGAGAGCTCAGGGCGCTCATGTGGTCTCAAGCGAGTGGACGCCACTCAGTGTGATCAGGGACAATCAGCACATCAACAGGAATCTCAACAGCAGACATGGAATGGGGTCATTTGAGGACCAGAATAGCAGACACACCAAAGACAAGAACAACGGTTAACTCTGGGTCAGCTTGGCTACGCTACAGTCCCAAGTGGTTTGGCCAAATACTAAGCTGGTTGCTGTTCCATAATGTAATTTAATGTAATGTAATCACCTTCCATAATGTAATCAATCAACCAATTGAAAAGGGAGTTTCCTTAGGGTGTGGTCTGCCTCCAGACTATAGACGGATTATTTTGTCAGAACTCACTCCTCTCCACTCTGTCCTCTTCCGGCAGCCTGACCGATGGATCTTGGGATGCAGGCCCGCAGAAGTCTCCAGCCTGTTGCCTGACCTACAGATTTTGTACTTGCCAGCGCCCATAACTGCGTAACCAATCCCTTGAGGTAAATTATCTATCCACCTACCCCTCCTATATGTATTGCTCTAGTCCTGTTTCTCCAAGGAATGCTAAGACAAAAACAAATGCAAATCCAGGAGCAGAACTTCTAACTTTTCTCTCAGATCAGGACCTGCATTATAGCCAGGTCTTCCTCCCAAAACATAAAAATGAGGGGGAGGAGGAGAAGGGAAGACGCTGGGACGATGCCATACAGGTGCTCATATCTGACAACAGCCAACGCTCTATAATACCTTCCTGCTTTGAGTTCTGCACAGCACCAAGGGCTGCAGGGCCAGGAGCCCTGCCTGTGCCCTCAGCCACGGTGACCGACAGGAGGGTGACAGCCTGGCCACACCAGCACATCAACTCCATGTCCTGGTGCTAATAGGGCATGCTGGTGGGGGGCCCTGAGCTGTCCCCACCCCTATAGGGCTGGCCATTCATGAATCCTACTGTTTTGTTTTGCTGGTGGAGGCAGTCTGTCCCTGCCTCGAGCCTCCCTCTGCTCTAACTGCTGACCAGCCTGTACCGTACAAACGCGACATGATCAACTCTTACCAGGTGGTCACAGGTCGGCTGGAAGGCGTTCGTCCCACACACGTAAAGGGTGTTGGTGTCGAGTGGTTGCAGCACTCGGATGTAGTTGAGGCATTCTGTCTATAAGGAAGAAAAATACACGTATGAACAACGGCCCAGCTTCATGCACTCCTCCACCATCCAGCTAATCAGCACTTCCAAATTGCTGACACATTGCATTTCCAAGCACAGATCCAGAGAGCTCGGCATTGACGTCAGCCTGCTTCACGGTGCACTCGGATGAGCCCCTCTGCATGTTAACGGCCTGTCTCGTCCTGACCTCTGAATGCCCGCGGTTTCTATGCACTAGCTCCACCCCGTCCACATGCACCGTGAGGGTCACTGAAACCCCACGTCAGTCCTGGGACAACCGTACGTCCTGGGCTGGCCTGACTAATTTGTCTTTGCGGCAGCTGCAGCCTGTCCAGGTGCCAGATGGGATTTCACTTCAGTTAGTAATTTATACTCAGCAAAGATCTGGTGAACAAAACAAAAGAAATGAGAGCTTTTCCTCACTTTTACTGGGGACACCCGCTACAGAACAAAAACTATTTTCACTCTCAGTGAACACACACCCCTTTCATTTTGTTCCCAAACATGCTGAAAGTCGACACGTGTATGTTATTTCCTGTGGTCTCCTTCACTGTATGGCCCCCTGCCTGCCACTGTCCCAAGGCGTGCAGCCAGGCCAGGTCCGGCTCCCCTCTCCTGCCCGCACCCTGCAGGGTATGTGTCTGGGGGCCTGGGTACGGCCCGCCCAAGGCCGAGCAGCCGCACGAATGAGGCAGCCCAGAGCTGTGCTCTGCAGCACAAAGGCCCCGTAAGAAGAAGACAAAGATGGCATTTAAGAACCCACAAACTATTTTAGGCTGAAACTTATTTGGATGACATGCGCCATAGTCTGAAATTATCTCCACTCAGAACAAAGTTTTCTTTGTGGTATGTTTTTTTTTTTCAAACTGGTGGGAAATAAGCCACCACTCCCCATGCCCTCGCTGACGTGGGTGGGTCCCCGTCCCTGGCACGGCCTCTGCGTGAGGGAGCGCACAGCGCACTGTCTCACTCAGCCCCAAGCTACCCCGGCAGCACCTGTTATCATACAAAATGCCTGCATTTGCCCCATTTCCTTACTTAATTTCCTAGTGCCAGTGTCAGCACTTCGCTAAAGGAGTTTAGCAAAAATAGTCCCCTGGTCGTTTTTGTTTTTTTAATTTTTAAAAATTAGCCAATAACTCTGAAAATGAGCATGACTCAGCTATCAGCAACTGTCAAGGCAGGCGCGGTTCCCATGGTCCAAGGACGCGGACATGCGCGCAACAACGTCCTGGACACAGCAGGTCTTACTGGGCAGTGAGGAGGCCCCAAAGATTGGTGGGGGAGGAGCTCTCATCCGGTGCTTTCCCGAAAGGCCACCAGCTGAGGGGCCAAGTATCTCCCAGGGAAGGGGCATGTTCTCCAGAGATGGAACTGTGCCCAATCCCCTACACTACCCCCAAATACTAAGGCTGCTGGGGCACGGGGGTCATGAACCTGCATTTAAATGTGCCCGCAGGCACTGGAAATCGCCTTCTGTCATCAAAGTTTCAGGCCACCGAATAAACTCAATTCTGTTAATCTTTAAAAAACATTATCAAACTTCTGCTGTATGTTTGGCACTGCCTTTTGACAGGCCTGAGTCCAATGACTTGACCGAGCCTACTAGAATTCTTAAACAAAATGTCTGACCCACATTTCAGAAAGAGTAGCGTTCAGAAGATGAAAACAATTGAAAAGTCTTTTTTTTTTTTGGCTTCAGCTTGCAACAGGAATTACCTGTTTTGATTTTCCCTTTTCAGCGCATTTTGCTTTTTTGTCTTCTGAGACCTTCCAATATATCTGTTAGGATAAAAGAGAGTCTATTTCAGTGTATATTATCCTTCCCAAAGAGCTACAGGTATCAGCAATGTATAGTCTAGAAACCACAGAACACAGTTTAGAGGATGGGCGTTTCTCCTGGGACAGTAAAATCTCCAACTGTAAAGTCAGGTTCAGAGAATTAGACGCTGAGGCCCGTAAGCAATCTGGGCCCTCAATGACATTTCTTTCTTTTCTTTTTTAAATTTCATTGTTGTTGCTGAGAATATACACAGCAGAACATACACCAATTCAACAGTTTTCATGTGTACAATCAAGTGACATCGATCACATTCTTTGAGTTGTCCAATGATCCTTACAGAAGGAGTTCTCTGAGTTGCTCCTCCCCATCAACATAATCTCACTGCCCCCTAAGGGTCTAGCTCATCTTTCAAGTTGCCGTTGTCAGTTAGACCCTATATAGATAGTTCTGAATAAGAGTATAATGCTCGAGGCACATTTTTTTTTTTTTTACTAGTTAAGCTAGTTTGGTTTTAAGATGACTTGAGGGGATATTTTTGGATTAAGGTTTAAAGATTATTTTAGGGCAATAGTTTCAGAGGTTCATCCAGCCTCCAGGCTCCACAAAGTCTGCAGTGCATGAGAATTTGCAGTTCTGTTCCGCATTCTCCTCTTTTTGATCAGGATTCTTCTACAGACTCTACTATCAAGAGGTTCCGTAATTGTAGCCAGGCGCCAAACAGTGCTTCTGGTCTCCTGGCAAAGAAGGAAGTTGTTCATGGAGGCACTTAGCCACACATTCCGTTTCCTCCTCCTATTCCTGGCTCTCCTTCTTCCTCTGTTGCTCCAAGCAAACACAGACCAATTGCTGTGCCTTGGATGGCCACTTGCAAGCTTTTAAAACCCAAGGAACTACACAGCGAACTAGGAGGTAGAAGAGAAGCACTAAACACATTATCAGGCCGATTAATGGAAATGTCCCAGGACACTAAGACCCTAAAAACCTCCAACCAAGGAACCAAATCCCTCGAGGTGTTTGTACATAAGCAGATATTCTCCCAGTCAGCAGCTTCTCTTTTCACTCGTTTGGTAAAGTCTTTTGAAGAACAAAAGTTTTTGATTTTTATGAGGTCCCATTTATTTTGCCTTTTGTTATTTGTGCTTTAGTTATTATATTAGAAAATCCATTGTTAAAAGCTAGGCCAGACAGCACTGCCCTTCACATCTTCTTCTAAGAATTTTCTGGTTTTAGTTTGCATTTTTAGATCTTTGATGTATTCTGAATTTGTTTTTGTGTATGGTGTGAAGCATGGATCCTGCTTCATTTTATGCATGTGGAAATCCAATTTTCCTAACACCATTTATTGAAGACACTCTTCTTTCCCTATCAAATAGACTTCGAACCCTTGTAAAAAATCAGCTGACCAAAAATGTGTAGGTTTATTTCTGGACTTTCAATTCTATTCCATTGGTCTATGCATCTATTGTCATACCAGTGCCAGGCAGTATAATATAATCCGGAAGTATGAGTCCTCCTATCTTCAACATAGCTTTAGCTATTCAGGGCCTCTTGCCATTCCATATAAAATTGAGGATTGGTTTTTCCATTTCTGTAAAAGAAGGCTACTGGGATTCTAACTGAGGTTGCACTGACTCTATAGATCGCTATGGGTAGCATTGACATCTTAACAATATTAGGTCTTGTAATCCATGAATACGAAACATCTTTCCACTTATTTAAGTCTTCCTTAATCTCTTTCAGCAGTGTTCTATGATTTTCATCGTAGAAGTCCTTCAAATCCCTGTTAAATTTATTCCTACGTATTTCATTCTTTTAGATGTTTTTGTAAATGGAATTGTTTCCCTAAATCTCCCTTTCATATTTCTCATTGTTGGTGTATAAAAACCCAGCTGATTTTTGTTTGTTGACCTTGTACCCTACAACTTTGCTGAATTTCTATATTAGTTCTAGAAGTTTTCTTCTAGACTCTGGGATTTTCTAAACATACAATCATTACCATCCATGAATACAGATCATTTTCCTTCTTTTTTTCCAATCTGGGTATCTTTTCTTTCTTTCTCTTGTCTTACTGCTCTGGCCAGTACTTCTAAAACAATATTGAATAGAAGTGATGAGAGCAAGCACCCTTATCTTGTCCCTAATTTCAAGGGGAAAGCTCTCAGTCTCTCTTCATAAAGCGTAATGTTGGTTGTTGGCTTTTCATACATGCACTGAATTATATTGCAGAATTTCCCTTCTATTCCAATCTTCTTTAGGGTTTTCATCAAGAAAAGCTGTTGGATTTTATCAAATGCTTTTTCTGCATCCACAGAGATGATCGTGTGGTTTTTCCCTTTGTTCTACTGATATGGTCTATTAAGTTGATTGATTTTCTAATACTGAACCATCTTTGCATTCCTGGAATAAATTTTCACTTGGTCAGGGCGTATGCCTGTTTTAATATGCTGATGGACTCTGTTTGCTAGTATTTTGTTGAAGATTTTAGCATCTGTATTCATTGCCCTGTGGCTTTCTTTTCTCGTGGTGTCTTTGTCTGGTTTTGGCATCACCGTTACATTTGCTTCACAGAATGAATTAGGGAGTATTCCTTCCTTCTCTATCTTTTGGAAGAGTTTAAACAGTATTGGTGCCGATTCTTCTCTAAATGATTGGCAGAATTCCCCAGTGAAGCCATGGGGTCTAGGATTTTTCGTTGGGAGGTTTTTCATCAGTGATTCAATCTCTTCACTTGTGGGTCGGTTGAGACTTCCTATTTCCTCTTGAGTTAGTCTGGGTAGGTTGTCTGCTCCTAATAATTTGGGTATGTCATCTAGGTTATCCAGTTTGTTTCCATACAGTTGTTCATAATATTCTAATACTCTTTATTTCTATTGGATCAGTTGTAATGTCCCTTCTTTCATTTATTTTGGTTATCTGCATCTTTTGTCGGTCTAGATAAAGGTTTGTCAATTTTACTGATCTTTTCAAAGAACCAACTTCTGGTTTTGATTCTCACTATTGTTTTTCTATTTTCCATTTTATTTATGCTTTGATCTCTGTCATTTCCTTTCTTTTGGTAGGTGTAGGCTTAGTTCTTCTATTTCTAGTTCCTAGAGTTGTTGAGTTAGGTTGTTAATTTCAGATCTTCTTTTATCATGCAGGCATTTATTGCTATCAGTTTCCCTCAAAGTACTGCCTTCACTGCACCCTATAAGCTTTTGTATGTCATGCTTTCATTTTCATTTGACTCTAAGAAATTTGTGATTTCTCTTTTGATTTCTTCCTTGACCCATGGGTAGTTCAATAGTGTGTTGTTTAATTTCCATATGTCTGTGTATTTTCCAGTTTTTGTTTTTCTGTTATTGATTTCTAGCTTCACTCTTCTGTGGTCAGAGAAAATACTTTGTATGATTTCAGTCTTCTCGAATTTATCGAGACCTGCTCTGTAACCTTACAAGTGGTCTGTCCTGGAGAATGATCCAAGTGCATTGGAGGAGAATGTATATTGTGCTGATGTTGGGTGGAGTGTTCTATATATGTCTGTTAAGTCTACTTGGTTTACAGCGTCATTGAGGTCCTCGGTTTCCTTACTGATCTTCTTTCTAACTGTTCTGTCCAATATTTAAAACGGTGTATTGAAGTTTCCAACTATTATTGTAGTGCTATATATTTCTCCCTTCAATTCTATCAGTGTTTGCTTTATATATTTAGGTGCTCTGATGTTGGGCACATATATACTTCATGATTGCTGGAACTTATTTATGATTTGGCCCTTTTATCACTATGTAAAGTCCACCTTTATCTCTTCTAACAGATTTTGTCTGAAAGTCTACTTTGTCTGATATTAGGATTGCCACCCCAGCTCTCTTTTGGTTATTATTTGGGTGGAATATTTTTTCCCATCCTTTTCATTTTCAATCTATTTGTGTCCTTGGGTCTGTGTGTCTCTTGCAAATAGCATGTAGTTGGATCTTGTTTTTTAATCCACTCTGCCCCTCTCTGCCTTTTGACTGGAACATTTAGTCCATTTATATTCATTGTAATTACCAATAAGTGACTTGTTTCTGCCATTCTGTTGTTTTTTGCATCTCTTAAGCCTTCTTTGCCTTGTCCTTTACTACTGCCTGCTTTTGTGTTTTGTTGGTTTATTAAGTGAGCCATTCTGGTTCCCTTATCCCTTTGTTTTGTGTATGTTTCTTACATATTTTATTAGTGGTTACTATGAATATTACATTTAACAGCTTGTATTTATAACGTCCTAGGGTAAGATTGGATCCTGTTGGCACAGTGGTTAGGAGCTACAGTTGCTAACCAAAAGGCTGGCAGTTCGAATCCACCAGCCGCTCACTGGAAACTCCGTGGGGCAGTTCTACTCTGTCCTATAGGGGCACTGTGAGTCAGAATCGACTCAAAAGCAACAACATTTTTTGGGTTGGGGGTAAGATGGTACCAACTTAACTTCAGCAACATACAAGAAACTCTGTACCTATATATTCCTCCTCCTCATTTTGTTCTTGTTATCGCTAATTATGTCTTTATATTTCATGAGTCTTGCAACCATTTTATCCTGATTTTATACATTTATTATTTGAAAAAACAATTAGAATATTCAAACATCAATACTTTATTTTAGCCATTCTACTTGTCCATGCGGTTCACTTTATTAGACACCTTTCTTTTTATGTATGGCTTTGAATTACTTTCTGATGTCTTTTCCCTTCCATCTACAAAACTCCCATTAGTGTTTTCTGTATGGTTGGTCTGCTGGATATGAGCTCTCTCAGTTTCTGTTTGTTTGGGGATGTTTTAATTCCATCTCTTTTTTTTTTTTTTTTAACTGCACTTTAGATGAAAGTTTACAGAACAAATAGTTTCTCATTAAACAGTACACATACTGTTTTATGACATTGGTTAACAACCCCATGACATGTCAACACTCTCCCTTCTTGACCCTGGGTTTCCTATTACCAGCTTTCCTGTCCCCTCCTGTCTTCTAGTCCTTGTCCCTGGGCTGTTGTGCCCCATTAGTTTTGTTTTGTTTTAGGGGGCTGTCTAATCTTTTGCTGAAGGGTGAATCCTCATTCTTGAAGGACAGTTTCACTGCCTATAGTATTCTTGGTTGACAGTCCTCCCTACCCCCGATCCCATCACTTTAAATATGTCATTCCATTGCCTTCTGGCCTCCAATGTTTCTGAGGAGAAACTGGCATTTAATCACATTTGGGGGTCCTTTGTATGTGACTATTTACTTCTCTCTCACTGCCTTCAGGATTCTCTCTTTATCTTTACTTTTTAAGAGCCTAACTATAATATTTCTCGATGTAGATCTCTTTGGATTTATCCTGCTTGGAGTTCTTTGAGCTTCTTGGATTTGTATATTCATGTTCTTTGCTATACTGGGGAAATTTTTTGTCATTATTTCTTCAAATACTCTTTCTGTTCCTTTCTCTCCCTCACCTCCTTCTGGAATTCCCATGATGTGTATATTAGGTCTCTCGCTGTTGTCTCATAATTCCATTAAACTGTGCTCAACCTCCTTCTTGTTGCTCTTCGGATCTGTAATGTTGACTATCTTATCCTTAAATTCGCTAATTCTTCTGCCTGATTAAATCTGTTGGTAAGTCCTGTTCTGTTTCTCATTTCAGTTACTGTCCCTTTTAGTTGCAATATCTCTTTTTCTAGATCCTCATTTTGTTCTTACATTGTTTTCTTTATTTCTTTTAGCTCTGTCTATGTTTTTCCTTAAGTGTTTAATTATGTTTAACATTGCTGTATTATATCATTCCATTTTTTCCATTATTTGGTCTTCCTTACCAAAAAACAGACTACCGTCAAGTCAATGCCAGCTCACTGCAACCCCATATGGTTTCCTAGGCTGTAAATCTCTATGGAAGCAGATTGCCACATCTTTTTCCCACAGAGCCGCTGGTGGTTTTGAACTGCTGACCTTTCTGACTAGCAGTCGATCGCCTTACCCACTGTGCCACCAGGGCTCCTTGGTCTTCCTTGGATGTGCTTTAACTCCCTTTGTCACATCCATCTGGATGGGACATCATTTCTCTGTTTTGTGTGTGCATTGTGATTTTTTTTCTGTTTAGACATTGGGATTTTCAAGGGTGTTAACTTCTTCAGTTCTCTCCAGTATTTGAAGCTTCTGCCTGTACTACTTTTTGCAAAAAACTTTTAGGCAGGTAGAATCTTCAGTCTTTTCTTGCCATTTCCTCCCTCTCTGTGACAGCTCCTTCTCCCTCCCTGGTTTAATTAGAATTTAAAAGTTCCAGGTTTTAAACTTTTAATATCTCCCAAACACACCAGAGAACATGCTGTGGTCAATATGTCCACCAGCAGGTACTGCCACTCAGGCGAGAGATTGTGCACTAAATCCATCTGTCCACCAGGAGCACAGTCCTCTCTCCCTGGTCATTACTCCCTTCTCGTCTCATTTCTGCAACCAGGTATTCAGTTGGAAAATCTACATCCAGAGAGCCTCTTTGGGGCTGGGTGTTACCCTCCAGTGTTGCGTGAGGCTTTCCTTCCTGCTCTGTAGGGGCTGCTTATATCTGAGTTGGCATTCAGGGGAAGCACAGGCAGACTTTCCTCTGTTTCAGGAGGAGGAGGGGCTGGCGCTCCCCAGAAGGACCTCTTAGGGATCTGTCTTGTTGGTTTCAGAGCCCCAGTGACCTGGTGGTGGTTGGGGGAGCAGTTCCCATTTAGGTGACGTGCCTCCTGGCTCCACTCTAGGGAACCTTTGTAGGAGATCGTATCAGTGCAGCAACCAGCATTTACTGGTTGGGGAAGGGGTAGGCACGTTCCAAATGGGCATCCAGGGAGGCCTGTCATGTTGCTCTCAGAGCCTACCCTGTAGTATGTTGGCTGTGGGCGTAGCCTCCACTCAAGATGCCTGCTTCCTAGCGCACAGCGCCCTCAGTCAGCTGTCCTCCGCACCAACCAGAAGAGGGAGCAGACAGACCCAAACTGTTCCCTAGGGAGGTCTGCCCTGTTTGTTTCACAGGCCTAAGCTATGGAGTGTTACAGGGAGGCGGGTAGAGTGCTAAGTATGGGAGCAGACTCCACTGTAGGGGCCTTCTGTAGCAGGTTTCAACAGCCTGGCAATCAACAGTTACCAGGTGGGGCAGGGGTGTCACACTCCAGTCAGATCCCCATGGAGGCTTGCCTTGTTGCTATCAGAGCCCCCACCCAGTATTCTGTTGGCTGTGAGTACATCTTCCACTTAAGATGCCTGCTCTTGGGAGGGGAAGTGCATCCACTGGGGACGTGGACACTCTGCGCTGAGACTCCTCCTGAGCCTCACCCTATGTGTTTGTATCCCTTTCTCTGCTAGACTCAAGATAGCCCTTTCCCTGGAGTTTATGAGTCATTCCAGTAGATTATGGACATTTGTAGGGCAATGAAACTATTCAGCATGATGCTGTAATGGTGGACACATGACATCATGCATTTGTCAAAACCCATAGCACTGTACAACACAAAATGTGAACAATAATGCAAACTATGGACTTTAGTTAACAATAATGTATCAATATCGGCTCATCAATCGTAGCAAATGTACCACTGGGACATTTGTAACATGTTAAGAACGGGGGAAACTTTGTGTGCGGTTGGGGAGAGGGTATATGGGAACTCTGTACTTTCTGAGCGATTCTTCTGTAAACCTAAAACTGCTCTAACAAAATAAAGTCTATTAAAAAACAAGAAAATAAATTTAGATGATAGATGGATGGATGACTGATGGATAGATGATACATAGATAGATGATGGATATATAGATTGACAGACAGATGAATCAGTTAATAGGTGATGTTTCGATAGGTAGCTCGAGAGATAGACAGGGTAGCCTCTGGTCTGTGGGCTTCTGGCAGGTACAGGAGAGCACAGAGGTGTGCCTGCAGACGGCCAGAGACTAGGCTGCGTGGGACACAGACACAGGCAGAGGGCTACGGGATCAGAGGGCTTCCGAGTGCCCGGGAGTCAGGAAAGGCAGCCGAGGACACCCCTGATAGCCCAGTGTGCAGATGGGCAGCACGTCTGTGAGGCAGATCACGAAGCAAGGAGAGCAGCACTAACTACACAGAAGAGCTTGCCTAAGGGAAACTGCAGGCTGCTCGAAGGCCGAGCCCACATGGGGCGCAGAGTTTGGTGGTCTCGGTCCCACTGTAAAGGTGTGCTGGCACCTGGTGAGGGGCTGCCCCCCACGTACCCACCTCATGCTGCTTCTCGGCAATATTGAGGGCGTTCAGGGCAAAGACAGCCTCCCGGGCGCCCACGTACAGGGTGTCCTTGTGTTCACTGAGCAGCAAGGTAGAGTAGTTGAAGACGCCTGGCTCGTGAAAACGCACCAGTCCTACATCTGTGGGAGGAAGGGGAAACAAATCCAACACTTTTAAGCTAAAAGGCCAACACTTGACAAATTGGTTGTCTACAGGCATATCTTATTGCACTGCCGTAGTCCCTGGGTGGTGCAAATGGTTAACGCGCTTGGCTGCTAACTGAAACTTCAGTGGTTTGAGTCCACCCAGAGGTGCCTTGGAAGAAAAGCCTGGTGATCTACTTCTAAAAAATCAGCCACTGAAAAACTCTGAGCACAGTTCTACTCTGACACACCGTAAGTCGAGTCGACCTGACAGCAACGGGTTTTTAGTGCCTGGCCAGTTTTGCTGGGACTGTATGATGCATTCCCTGCAGACGCAACACCAAGCTTAATCAGCTCTGGAGCAGACGCACCAACAAAGCCATCGGATGCAGCCGAGGCCTGAGGGCCACTGTGCTCACCCTCCGCTCCCGCTCCCCAAGCCCTAACTCCGCACTAAGCTCACCCGCCAGCGAGGGCACAGGTAAGGGTCTCCATCTGCAGCTTTCCGCTACCTTCTCATTAAACTCTTGTCTGTGATTTTTTAAATCACCCATAAGTTAGATGGATGAAGAATAGAACTATTTAGAATTTTCTTGTTCAGGAAAAAAAAAAATGGTTTACCTCAAACCCTTTAAAACATCAACTGCAGAGACTCTACCACTCCATGCAAGCATTTTTCAGCGACAACTCCAACAAACTGACCAACTAGGGAAACCAGGTACGTTTCTTTTCACTCAGTAGGTCACTGTACCAATAATACTTGGGAACACCGAGAATTTAACTATTAGCTATTTAGGAATAACGTACATTTGTCAGTACTGTTTTTTGGGGAACTGTTTCTTTTTAAAGAACTATTTCTTGTTTTTAACCCTTCTGGCATCAATTAGAGGGAATTTAAACAGGTTTTCCATAGATCACCAAACGTTCCATTGACTTAAGGGTTAGGGGTTAGTCCCTTCTGTTCTAATTTCCAGTGTTGAAGAGAGATACACATGGGATGAAATTCCTCTCTTGGTACATCTGCTACTCGTAAGCGTTGTCCTTTAATTCCACACAGGAGGCTCCCGGCCCTGCATTCAACACCCTGTGCTCAATAATGGGTATTTAATGCTCTCAATCCACAGAACCAGAAAGACAGGGACTCCCAAGACACATCTCCCAAGAGAAGAAATAAGCAAAACAGAAACTAAAAAACAGCAAACAACGACAAGCGGCCTGAAGCTTGGCTCCACGCACCGTTTAGCTGTTCTCAAAACACATCAGTGGTCTGCTCACGGGCACGGTGGCCAAGCAGAGCCGACCTGTCCTCAGCAGCCTGTGTCAGACAATGGCAGTTCCAAGAGAGATAAGCTGCCTTTTGGAAACCAGTTACTGGTTGCCATCAAGGTTTTTTTAACTCATGGCAAGTCCATGCGTGTCAGAGAAGAACTGTGCTCCGTAGGGTTTTCAATGGCTGATTTCTCGGAAGCAGATCACCAGGCCTTTCTTCCGAGGCACCTCTGGGTGAACTGGAACCTCCGACCATTCTGTTAGCAGTCAAGCTCGTTAACAGTGTGCACCACCCCGGGACTCCTCCTCTCAGGAGTTCCCCTCTAAATCGGACACCAAATCGGGGGGTCTGAGAATGTCTAGGCAAATGTTTCTAGTTACTAAGAGCATCTCTTTAGATGCGTATGTCTCACAAAATTCTAGAAGCACAGCAAAAAACCAGCTGCGCTGAGTCAATTCCAACTCATGGTAACGTCATGTGTGTCGAAGCAGAACTATGCTCCACAGGGCTTCCATGGCTGTGACCCTTCAGAAGGAGAATGTCAGGCCTTTCTTCTGAGGCACCTCTGGTGGGCTCGAACCTCCAACCTTTTGGTCAGCAACCGAGCACCTAATCATCTGTGCCACCCAGGGACTCCTTCTAGGAACTTGACTCAAATAGCATAATTAGCAACAATGTCCAGCCACACATTTAGCATCCTGGGTGGTGGGGCGACTGTTCCCCCCATGCTACAGGGGCCACTGGCACCCCTGCAGGTTTGCTCTCACCTCTGTGCTCCCAGGTGATCCGAGGGACAGGTGCGAATGCCACGGCCATCCCAAACACCACGGCCAGGGCCGTGAGCAGGCCCCTGGCAGGGACGCACATCCTCATGGGGTAGGGGCAGGCCACAGGGGTGGGAGGCTGTTCAGTGCCCTGGAGCCGTGACCAGCAGCTCAGCACGGAGCCGGAGCCGGTGTACAGGACCCCCAAGGACCCTCATTTCCCAGCCCGCCAGGCTAGACGGGGCCACTCTCGCCAGCGCAGTTCTCGACGCTCACGTGGTCTGTAAACGGCATGCTCCACGCAGTCTCTGGAGAAAACACTGAAAGAAAGTGAAGAGGAAGGGGTGAGTGAAGACGGTGTGGGACTACATCTGCTCTCCACCTGAGCAGCGCTCCTCCTCGGCTCCACTCTCACCATGTCCTCTGCACGGGGCCATCCGCGGGGAGCATGGCAGGTTGGCGGGGACCCAGGAGGGCTGCAGCGACCCCTCGTGAGGGCAGGTCTGGGGAGAACCCCCCACAGGCACCCGCTCTCAGGAGCACAGAGGAGCCCCCAGGCAGGCCCAGGGCAAGAGGGACATAAGGGATGGAGCTTAGTGGTGAGCCACGGGGACACCCACCGAGAGCAACAACGCCTGACCAGCTGCTCCCTGTCTGTGTGGCCACTCCTGTCCAGCAGGGAAAAGTTTCCCCTCGGAGACTTTTGCTCTCCAATTCCTTTAATGCCTAGCAAGGAACACGGCTGGAAGAAACACCAGGGGACTGCAGAGAAGGTTACAATGCATGTGTGCACGGAAATGCATGTACGCACACACACGTATACACATGCACACATGCATGCACACACACACTTGCACACAGTGATGAGGAAAGAACCCCAAATGTGAACAAGCACGAACGGCAAACAGGTGACACCTGCTTGACTCAGCCCCTGCTGGAGAGAGAATAACCACAGTTCTAGGCCACCTGCTGGCCACCTGTTCTCTGACACTGTGACCCTGACCAGCCCACCCCCTACAGGGCAAGCTTGTGTGACGAGCTCTCCTTGCCGATGGGCTGACCCGTGTAGACGGCTGCCAACCTCAGCTGGCGGCCCACACCCTGGGAGCCCGAGGGCAGCTGGCATTGACGACATGTGATTCAGAAATACACATTACCTTGTCAAGCCAGGCTGTAAACTAGGCGCATGGGGCTCAGCTAAGACCATTCACCAGGGGACCTCTGCTGCAGGCCTGCCCAGGATTCCTGGGCCATGGCGGCAAGATCTCGCTCTCTCTTGCTGCCCAGAGCAGAGGCCTGCCTCCTCTTCCTCACCCACCGGGCGTTCAACAGCCTGCACAGGCCTGCCTCCTCTTCCTTGCCGGCTGGACATGCAGCAGCCTCAAAGGCCTGCCTCCTCTTCCTCGCCCGCTAGGCGTGCAACAGCCTGCACAGGCCTGCCTCCGCTTCCTCGCCCGCTGGGCGTGCAGCAGCCTGCACAGGCCTGCCTCCGCTTC